GAAGGACAGACAGGGGAGATAAGGAGAGGCTCTCACTCTCTGTGTCATTGATCAGCTGGAGTGCATGGAAGTCTGCCTGGGTATGGATGAGGACTTGATTGAGAGTTTATGGATCAGGATTAAAGGGAGAACAACAACAGGGGACATTATACTGGGGCTCTGCTACAGGCAACTTGACCAGGAAGACAGATAGGAGCAGCTTCACGTTCACAAGCCTTGGTCCTTTTGGGGGACTTCATCCACCCTAATATCTGTTGAAAGGACATTGCAGCAAAACATAAGCTGCATTGGAGTTGCCTGGAAAGCGTTGATGATAACTTCCTTCTCCAAGTGATAAAGTAGCCAATGAGGAGAGGTTCTATATTGGATGTGTATTCACTAAAAAGGAGTGGCTGGTGGGGAACATGAAGCTCATGGACAGCCTTGGCTGCAGTGACCATGAGATGATGGAGGTCAAGATCCTTAGGGCAGCAAGGAGAGCCCACAGGAAGCTCACTGTCAAGGGCTTCAGGATGGTAGACTTTTGTCTCTTCAGGGACTTGACTGATAGAGTACCATGGGATACATTCATGGAGGCAAAAGGAGCTGATGAAATTCAAGCACCACCTCCTCCAAGCTCAGGAGTGCAGAAAACGAATGCCAGGAGACCTGCATGGGTGAGCTTCTGAACAAATTCAGACATAAAATGGAGGTCCACAGAGGGTGAAAGCAAGCACATGTAGCCTGGGAAGAATCAGAGAAACTGTCCAAACAGACAGGGACTAGGTTGAGAAAGCTAAAGCCCAGAGGGAGTTAAATCTGCCAACAGACTTCAAGGGCAACAAGAAAAGCTTTCTCAGGTAGGTCAATCATAAAAGGAAGAGAAAGGAAGATGTGCATCCTCTCTGGAAGGAAATGGAAGACAAGTTTATGGAAGGCAAACACAGGGACTGTGAGAATGAAGAACTACCCACTGCAGAGGCAGATCAGGTTCAAGACAACCTAAAGAACCTGAAGATGCACAAGACCATGTGACCTGATGATACACCCATGAGTCCTGGGGAAACTGGCTGATGAAGTTGCTGAGCCACTCTCCATCAGATTTGAGAAATCATGACAGTTTAGTGAAGGTCCCAAAGGCCCAGGGAACCGCAGGCCAGTCAGTCTCACCTCTGTGCCCAGCTAGATCATGGAGCAGATCTGGCACAGATCCTCCTGGAACTATGCTAAGACCCATAGAAAATAAGGAGGTGATTTGTGATAGCTAACGTGCCTTCACCAAGGACAAATCCTGCCTGACGAATTTTGTGTCAAGGTATCATCTCCTGGTATGATGGGGTTTCAGAATTGGTGGATAAGGGAAGAGCAACTGATGTCATCTACCTGGACTTGTACCAAACACATGACACTGTCCCATACAACATCCTGGTCTCCACACTGACAAGACATGGATTTGGCAGATGGGCCATTTGGTGGATAAGTTATTGGCAGGATGGTCGTACCTAGAGAGTTGCGGTCAGCAGCTTGATGTCCAAGGGGAGACCAGTGATGAGTGGCATTTCTCAAGGTTCAGCCCTGGGACCAGTGCTAGTTAACATCCTTCTCAGCAACATGGAGAATGGGATTAAGTACACCCTTGGAAAGCTTGCTGATGACACAAAGCTGTGTGGTGCAGTTGACACACTGGAGGGAAGGAAGGTCATCCAGAGGGATCTTGACAGTCTTCACAGGCGGGCCCGTGCAAACTGCATGAAATTCAACAAGGCCAGGTGCAGCCTTCCAGTATCTGAAGGGGATCTACAGGAAAACTGGAGAGGAACTGTTTACAAGGGCATGTGGTGATAGGATGAGAGGTAGTGACTTTAAACTGGAACACAGTAGATCTAGATTTAATAGCAGGAAGAAATTATTTACTGTGAGGGTGGTGAGACACTGAAGCAGGTTGTTCAGAGAATTTGTGGATTCCCTCTCCCAGGATTTGTTTAAGATCAGGCCGCATGGACTCTGAGAAACCTGGTCTAATGCAAGTGTCCCTGCCCATGCAGCAGGGAGAGGAACTAGGTGATCTTTAAGGTCCCTTCTGACCCAATCCATTCTGTGATTCTCTGAGATCTTACAGTCTCTCAGGGTGATCTTCAGCTTTGCTTTAATTCCTCGTGACACATATTTCTGCTATTGCCCCATTCCCTTTTCTCTCTTTTTCTTGCATTTGTCTTTTCTGTACGTATCTTTTGTGTCTCTGATGGAATATCCTCCTCCTCATAAGCCCCTTTGCCTGCCAAGATCTCACATCTTTCAAATTCCTCCCTAAAACCTACTTCATCAGGGAGTTTTCACTCCTTATCCAAGGCAGATGCCTTTCTTACTCTGAATATTTTTTCCATATATTCTCTTGTCTGTCTTAAGACCTGGATAGCTGGCATTTGAGGATTACCAGCAATTTTCTTTCTTGAGTAAGAATAAGAATTCCTTACAGCTTCACTGTTTTGACTGAAATAGCCCAAGGGTCTCTCTATCCTGTTGTTGCCATTCAACAGCTTAACTTCCCTTAAAAAAAAAAAAAAAAAAAAAAAAAAAAATGTTTGTCAGGGCAGGGATGGCCTCTGTGACAGACAGACAATGCCTTTAATTACTCCATGTTTCTAGGACTTACTTTTCTATATGGTATAAAATTGCCTGAAAAGTAACTTTCCAATAAGTCTCTAAAAACTAGTCATACCTCCTTGAAAATTAAAGTATGCATTCACTAGTATTAAGGGGATAGAAAAGCAGTTAACTGGAAAAAGGCATAGTCCCATGCGAGCCTGCTGGGATTTTTCTGCAGATTTTCTACTCAGGCACACACTGCCTGAGAGAACTATAAGAAAAATACCACTGTTTCCTTCCAAACATAAAATATATATTTAATAATTGATGATGATGATAGCAGTGAGTTTTCAAGAGTTTTAGAAAGGAAATGCAGCAAGTTCACTTCTACTTTTAATTTTAATTTTCTGTGAAATTATGACTACAACTTCACTGAATTTATAAGCAGTATTAATATAGAGATCAGGTATTAATCCTCTCATATTTCATCCCAGTAAATTTCAGTGGTGCTGCTTTGGCATGTAGCAGAAGTTACAGGGTAGTGATTCAAGCCCAGAAAGAAAGGATCTTAGTTACCTGGGTAATATCAATGGAGTTTCAGTAGTCATTTATTCATACCCAGAGTAAGTGATTTCAAGCCACTATACCCATGTGCAGATACAATGCAGAGGGATAACAAAGATGCTCCCCAAGTGTTCTCCTGGGTTCAGTACTGCGGCTGGTTCTGTTTAATATCTTTACTATCTGGACAAGGGGATCAAGTGCACCCTCAGCAAATTTGCAGGGTGTTGATCTGCCTTGGGATAGAAGGGCTGTACAGCGGGAGCTGGACAGGCTGGATTAGTGGGCTAAGGCCAATTTTATGAGGCTCAAAAAGGCCAAGTGCTGGGTCCTGCACTTGTGTCACAATAACCCCATGCAAAGCTACAGGCATGGGGAAGAGTGGCTGAAAAGCTGCCCAGAGGAAAAGGCCCTGGAGGTGTTTTTTGACAGCTGGTTCAACATGAGCCCAGGTGGCTAGAAAAGCCAACAGCCTCCTGGCCTGCATCAGAAATATGGTTGCCAACAGAAGCAGGGAAGTTTGTTAATTATTGCTGTAGTACATTTTTACTGTTGATTCACACTTCTGTGTTATCCTTCTTTTATTATTTTGTTTATGATTTCTTGACATTGAACCAGGATTGGGTTTGATTGACATCAATTGCTAATTAAATTATTTTAAAGGGAAAATGTGGGGAATGTGGATTTGACATTTTTGAAGAAAAGATAATGTAGAGGCCATAAGGTGAAAGACTAATCTAAATACCTTATTAAAAAATAATAATAATAATTAAAAATTGACTAACATCCAAATGAGCAAAGCCTCTTTCCTTTCAATTCCTTTCAAATTCTCCATGCTTACTGCTTAAAAATTTGTTTTAGTAGGGGGCAGAGCTTATATGTAAGGTCATGGTGAGGCTGATCCTCTCTAACAAGATTTTAATTTGGGCTCTGGATGCAGTCCAGAGAAAGTACAGCCCTGTCAGTAGCAGGTATGTAATTGCAGTACTCCATGCCTGTAGACCACTGGCCCAGAGCTTATTTGGTGGCTCCTGTTGGTGAGTGGCCTGCTGGAGGGTGCTGGTAGCAGCACCAGCAGACAGTTGTGAAACACTGAGGCTGCACAGACCAAGAGACCTTAGAGGTTATGATCAGCTTGGAACACACATATCTGCAGAGGGCCTTTATAAGAATAAGAAACTAAATGAAAAGGAGAGGTTGAAAATACAGAATAATGGAAACCATGCACCAGAGGACGAAAGAGGAGGGAGGAAAACATGAAAGTTACATGGAAGCGTACAACTACAGGAAAAAAAGGAGCAGGTATAAATCACAAAGGAGATTGTCTTCCCTCAGTTCTCCTTCTCTTCTAACCTTTCAGTATTTCTTGCTTGTTGTCGGTTTATACTTTTAGTATACCTACCACTACAAGGCCATGTGCTGGCTCTTTGCACATTGTCCAGTGTTCTGTGTGTTCATATTTTTTGTTTATAATACTGTCAAATAATTAGGGACTTTAGTCTCCTCAAGCAAACACAGTGTATTTTTGATGACCTAAACACTCCATTAGACAGTAGTGCCTATTTAAGGATATAAAATATGTGCTACATAGTGCCCAGGGGTAAAAGAGTGCAATAGAAAAGACTAATGAATGGAACAATATTAGGGTTTGAATATTTTTAATATTACCAGGTTACATTTTTATAGTATGGTGAACAAATGCAGTAGTCTAAGGAATACATAGAGAAGTAGTATAGTATTTTTGAAAGACACAAAAAAGTATCTACCTGCTATTACTTGTAAGTGCATTTATATTAAGACCACAAAGAAAAGAAAACGCAATGAGAGCTTAGCTTGCCATCTAACATTTTAAAAAGCACATAAATTCAAGCTGTACTTGTAGGATATATTGAAAGAGGAGCATTTTCATAGCACTAGAGAGACTTTTCACTGAAAATAAAAAATAGTTCTTTATGACAATGAATTTCAAATTAGTTAGCTATGTACCAGACATTAAAGTTTGCTTTGCTCTGTTAGTCACCTAAATTTTTTCTACATTATTCTTTATATTGTTAATATAAGCATGTAACTCTTACACAATCAGAAAGCAAAAAGGTTAATGAATAATTTGAGATATAAAGCTTCTGAGAATTCAGATAACCCTTTTAGATTTGTTTGACGATGCTAAATTCTGCACCTCCAGCAGCATTATGAGTTCTTCTGTGGGATTTTGATTGTGACAGTCTTAACTTCAGTGTATTCATGAAGGCCATATTCTCCCCTAAGAAAAACAAAACAAAACAAAACAAACAACAAAAAAAAAAGCAATATTAATCATAATGCTTTTTATATGACTTATATCCTGGATGGGATTTTTGTTGGTGCTGTGCAAATTGGCCAGATGTATAACATGTATAGTGGACATATTTGGAAGACATCTATGCAGTTAGACTGCTGTTGAAAGGCTTCTGAAAAGCTGTGAAAAAGAATCACATTTACATCATCCATTACATGTAGTTTGCATAAAAATGTACATATTTTGATTTTTACTTATTGCTTTAAAAATGCATGCTTTCTACCAAGCTAAGACAGGACAGGATTCAAATTGGAACAGGACTAAATCTTGGAGGTTTGAAAGAATTTGATTAGTTTATAATTTCTGTACACTCCTCCACTTCTAGTTTGGAAAAAGACCAAACATGTGAAGACTACAGAGATTTTTTTTTCATAACTTTTGAGCCAGCTGGAATATACTGTAAAAACATTGTTGTCACGAGACTTTTAAACTGACAAGCCTTGTTTAGCTTAAGGATTTTCAAATGTCATGTGTTTTCAAAAGTGTAGCATTTAAAAGAGAATCCACAAACCACACATATATATATCTTCATGCCAATGGCACTTTCTATATATGTAGAAAAAATGTAAACACAGTGATCAGTTTTGTGTATCAGTAAATTGTGGCAAGTTACTAAAACCAGTCGTTTTGAAAAAGTGTGTGTATCTAAGTAATTTTTTTATTTCTTCATAAAGGAATATTTGCTTGACATTGTATCTGACAACATGGAGCCTCTAAACACTCCTTAGACTCATCTGACAAAATCTCAAACGGCATCCTAGTTAGGAATATTTAAAGCGAGGGTTTGGCATTTCATTTTGCAGTTCCTGAGAGTCTGCATTTTTAGAAGTATTTACTTACATTTCTCTCCCATTTCCTGACATCTTAAATCCTCCAAAAGGACACTGAGCAGACACTGCACTATAACAATTAACCCTGGAAGAACAGGAAAATTACTTTGGACAGTGAAAAAAAAATTTTCATTTCTGCAAAATCAATGTTTTTCTGTCACTTGTAAAAAAAAAACAACAAGAAAACCAGACACCTATGGTGATAATGCACAAACTGAATCTGAGTAATATATTTGCAAAATTATTTGTAGTTCAAGAAAAATAAAGCATTATCAGAAGCTACACTTGTGATCAGGGTTCTAGCAGTCAAGAATCTTCAAGCAGACTGATGGTAATACCTTTTGCTGATAGTTACCATAAAATTCCTTCCTAACTTAAAGCTCTCAAACTAAATACTAGTCACAGTTAGGTCTTATGCAGGTACTGTTTAAATAAGTAAATTCAGGATCATTTCAATATATACTTAGGAATTTTTGTTTCATTCTACTCAATGTTAAACCGTATTCTGTGTTATGTTTGAGAACAAAAATATGGTAAAGAAGAAAAAATTTCACAAAGGAATTTATAGTCTGAAGAGTTTTGGCAGAATGTGCATACTGTTGCCTAGCTGAAAAGCACTTCTTGACTTGAAACACTGTAGAATCAGATATTCTGTTTTCACATCTTATAATTTTTCCTTCTGCCAGTCACCCATTTTCAACAAAAGAGGTTCTGCTTATGACTGACAATTCTTAGACAGACCAACAATCACGTAAGAGTAAAAACCCAAAGATTCCACCTTTTTAAAAATTTTCTTCCACTTAAAAAAATATCAACTCCGAATTCAAAACTGTTAACCTATTTTTAGAAAGTATATGTTTTGAGGTCACAATGCTTGGGCAAGAATTTTGACTGCAAGTTATTCCAGATAAAAAGTAAACTTGACACAGGTTTTACGTTCAAGTAAAATTGGTTGTTTTCTGAAGTATCGAGATGACTGTAGAGAAAGGCAGGTCTCTGTCAGTGATAATCATTAGATTCAGTCTACTGTTCCTCCAAGCTTTCACTTTGACATCTCTCAGCCTTTGCCTTTCCAACTCCATGTGGGTTTCCTCTTTCTTTTCCATCTCTGGAAACTTGCAGCAGTTCCTCCTCCCTTGTTTTTCCTTCCTTTTTTCAACCACATTTAGTCAATCTTTTCCATCACAGGTATTTGTTCTGCCCAGGTTAATGGCCACAGAACTTCAGATAATTTTTTTACACAGTACAGAAAACAATTCCCACAAGTTAAGTATGTATTGAGCTATGTCCAGATCCTGAAGGGAAAGGAAAGCAGCAGTCTCACTCTACTTCCTTTTGTATTCTTTAATTTTTAGCAAGTCAAATTTCTTTTTCAGGTTAAGTTTAAAGGGCAATTGTGTGATGACTTACAGAAACATTCATTTTTCAGCCCATTAAGTACAGGAAGGTGAGGGGAAGAGAGACACAAGAGGATGGCATTAATCTGCCTTTCTAAAGGCGACTAGGAAATTAAATCTAAATGCATGTGTTTATATTTTAAAGTATATATTATTTTAAAGTATACATTATTTAAATATAGAAGTATACCACTCAGACAAGTATTAAAATGTTCTACAATTACTGCCATCGGCACCTGCAGTTTTGAAAGAAGAGTTATAAAAGCCGTTACTTACCATACTGTTCCAGCCTGAAGAGCAGCTGCAAACGTCAGTGCTTTATCAATATCTTTGGTAAAAACTGCAGCTGCTAAGCCATAGGTAGTATTATTTGCTCTCTTGATAACTTCATCTACAGATTTAAACTTCATGATTTGTTGAACAGGTCCAAATATCTGTTTCAGACACATATAAACATATGAAGGAGACTAGTACCACTTACTATTGTAAATAATTTATATATTGAAAATTTACTTCTGTCAGCTCACCTTACTCCTTGATTCATTCAGTTAAGTGTGTACATCTCAGAACTGTTTTTAATAGTATGGAGCAAACCAAGACAGCTTGTTGTAAAATTATTCATAAAACAATAAATAAAAAACTAAAACTGTAAGTGTTGAAAACAAATAATTAAAGATGAAAAGACACCCTCCACAAGGATAGTTAGCATTGAATCACAGTATATTACATACCTATGCTGCTTACCAACAAATTGGTATTTTTGTGATAAGCTCTGGTTTTAGAGTTGAGAAACACATTCAGTTTTTCCTTTCCCCAAACTTTCTGTTACACTTTTATCCCTGCAAGTAGCTGCATAACTGGGCATATATAAAAAATGAAACAACTATTTCTGCTTTCCATAAGGGTGTTACATGAGATAGTAGTCCCTCATGCTCAGTTTTCCCACTACTGCCACTCTTTGATCTCAGTCAGAGGTGCCCATGCCTACCATACACTGCCAAGGCTTTGCGGGGTATGGGGGCATTGCCACACTTAATTAATGCTATTCCCAGAAATCATGAGCTTTCCACTTGATTTTGCTGGGAAGTGTTTAGTATGAGTTTCTAATTACAGTTGCAGAGATTGATTTACATAGATCAGAAAAACACTGAACATTCTCTCTTTTTCAAGTTGTGAGTTTCAGAACATGGGTGTTCTTTAAATTGCCTTCTCTCTTGTATTACATTATTTAATACACTCAAAATAGTGTGAGAGAAGCAGTTCTTCTACTGCTGACCTAATGGAAATTAATAGAACTGTGAAGAAACTAATTTCTCTACAATTTCCTACCTTCCTCCCAGTCTGGCAGAAACAATCAAAATTATTTCTCATGCAGCTCTCTCCTGTTTTACAGCTCTCTCCCCTTCACAAGTAACTATAGATGCTCTGGTGTTAATTTTAACTGTCTGGTGACTTGCTGAATGAACTAGGTGCGTTCAGCAGACTGCATAAGCAGTACCTCTTGCTATATAAAGTAATATTTAGGTTTGTAACAATTTTGAAGGAGATTTTTAGTGCAAAGAAGTGTAATGAACACCAACTGCAGCACAATTTCAGCAGTTAATAATCAAGATGAACGTCAAAAAAAACCAAAACAAACACCAGAGAGAAGAAACCCTGACTGGACTTCAAAGCTCCGTTTACAGAACTGTTTTTCTCAATGGTTCTGTGCTCTTAACTCTCCCCCATTCCTTAGAGATGATCGCTTCTGCCCTGGAATTGACATTTCAGCTGGATCAATGAAAGCTCTGTCAGTACTGCGTAGATGCTTCTGCAAACTGATCTAGGTCAAAAAAACACCTGCAGAGGCAAAACTCTACTTTGTGTTAATTGCCACCAGCAAAATGCCCATGGTAGCGCAATCTAACTATTTCAACTTACTGCAAAATAGCTGGTTGGTGCATATTGTGTCCAACCCCCACTGTAAGTGGCTCCTTAAGCAGTGCAAAGAGTTCACACACTGTGCCTTCAAGGTTTGCTTCCTTGTTACAGTTTGCCATGACTCTGTTATGTAAGACATGGCCAGTATGGGGGTGATTCATACTGTCTGAACCTCAGCATTTCTTATCTACTGTCAGCTTAAACTGGAGCCTTTATTGGCAGGCTAACCTCATTCTTCTCTCCCTCACCTCCAATGAGTTGTTGAAACAGGCATCAGAGACCCAGAAAATAACAGATTTACTGAGAATGTGTTGCCACTTGACCTTCTAAATGGATATTTGTACAAACATTTAAAAAGACAATATTCAGTGAGTGTATAGACTGCCAAGAGTTTATTTACCTCTTCTTTGGCGATGCGCATATCATCTGTAACATTAGAAAAAACTGTTGGCTGGATGAAGTAACCTTTGTTTCCCCATGGACCTCCTCCACATTCCAGTTTGGCTCCTTCTTTTTTCCCACTCTCAATTAGCTCCAGGATTTTTTGAAACTGATCCTTATCAATCTAAATGAAAAGATGTTACTGGGATGAAAACACCACACACTAATAAGTATTGCTTTTCTAACTCATTAGCCAAAACTGAACAATGTTCCAGCTTTGTTCAATCGCATGTGTTGAAGTGAAACAGCTGGAGAGCTCTGCAAACACTCTTGTCTCTAAATTCTCAAAAATTTGCAGGCTTTTCTCAAATAGACCAGTAATCAGAAATTTTGACATAGGAAGATCAGATGTAGAGGGACTGATACCCTGTGTTTGCTCCAGAAGGCCTGTGAACTGGAGGACAAATAGAGCTTTTGAAGAGACTCTGTGACAGGAGATCACAGTAAATGTCTCTGATATGGGCTATCATTCTATGTTTCTAGAAATAATTAGTCAAAGCACAACAAAGAATTTGAAGACAAACTGAGTTATATAGCATAATTACCTGAAAAGAAACTGTATTGCTACAATTTTTTACTCATTTTCATCAGACTAGTTCTAGAAGGAGAAACTTTGCTAACCTGTGAAAAAAGTTAAGATTTGTGCTTCAGCGTGCTAAGAAGAAATAAAAGAGGTCAAGAGAGGCAAATGATGAGACTGGAAGAGAAGGGAGTCTTCATGTTCTTTCAGAGGTTTCCTTTAATCTTTCATTTAAATTGTTAGCATGAATTTCAAATTCAGTAAAGCCACAATAACATGAGAGTGGATTCTTGTTAGTTTTATATTGGTGGTACATCAGACACCTGAAGGTTATTGTTTCAATCTTCCCATCCTCTGGCATTTAAATTATTCAGCTGAACATATTAGCTTGTAAGCAATACACCCTTGATATCAAAATAGCATCCGCAATCCTTTTAAATTCTCCAAAGCTTGTCTTGGAATGTGGTTTCCAATTTACTTAGTGTCTTTGATTACATAAAATTAATTTCATAACCAAGGAAGAGCTTATTACATATTATAAAACATGTGGGTGTTGCTTTGTCTCTAGCTTTTGCTTTTTCTCTTGTACTGTTCCATTATTCTGTGACAAATATGTGCATAATTGCTCTTCCAAGAAAGTATATATACTGTAGCACAAGTTGATATGGGAATAAGAATATAGATGAAATCCAGGTAACAATATTCTAGTGTGATCCACTGAATCCACACCATTGCGGGTTTTTTAATGTTGCATTTAGCATTCTTTTAACGGGGAAGCTCTTGGTATAAACTCTTAAAAAGTTTCCTTACTAGGAAATAGTTTCCTTAGTAGGAAAAAGTACAAAATTATACATTATGGTTTTGCAATATTCTAAAACTGATAGCAGCAAACCCTCAAGTTACTCACAATGGCACTATTTGAATATAATGTTAGCAATCTCTGATATGGGTGATCATAATTGCACTTTCACAGCTGTTGCACGAAGCTTTCCCAAAGTATTTCAGTTCTAAATAATTGTTCCCATTCCATACTAAAAAGAAGTAGAAAAGAGAAGGAAATCTCAGCCCTAGGTCTGTGGTACTGGCACAAACAGCCATCACTCAAGTTTTTTCCTCCCGGTCTTCCAGACTGACCCCTAGACAACTGTACTTAACCTTGGTGCTAAGGCAACAATATATTTCAAAGTACATTGAACTATGATGATGTGTCTTAGGTATATTGGAAACACATAATATTACTTACTTGAGGGCCTTGCTGTACAGTAGGCAACAGAGGATCCCCAAGAGTATACTTTTTTGCTCGTTCAACGCTCCGACGGACAAACTCATCATAAATAGGCTCCTCCACAAAAATCCTAGATCCTGCTATACAACACTGTCCCTGGTGGTAAAACAGACCAATATGTGCAAATTCCACGGCAGTGTCCACTGCAAAGAAACGTGGAGCTCATCAGATCATAATCTTGAATGGTCATGTCATATATTCTTTACAAATCTGTATCACTCCTTCTCATTTCCCTTTTTAACACTCTTTATTTTTATGGACCTTTAAAACACGGCTATCAATCCACAGTATCAAGATACACCTAGAAAAACACACATTCAGCTGTTCTATGTGAAATACAGATGCAACATTATGTGCTCTACCAATGGTACTAAGAGGTGTATTCACCCAGAAAGCTAATAAACATGTATGCATTCATGCTCCATTAAGATGATCCTTACTTAAAGTAAGGGTGGACAGGTTGTCTTAGGTTCATATCCATTCAGGAGCCACCAATTATTGATGGCAATCTAACTTTTAACTATAGCATGACCAGAAAAAAATAAAAATTCCTCCTGCATTAAACAGGTAATTTATGAAAAAAAAAAGGAAAAAGAACATTGGACTTGCAGAAGTACTGGGTTTGTATAATAAAAATGCTACTAACAGTCTGCATCGGCAAATATAATGTTAGGACTTTTCCCTCCAAGTTCCAATGTAACTCTCTTCAGATTGCTCTTCCCTGCAGCTTCTTTAATCAGTTTGCCAACCTAGAAGGTAGGGAGAAGACAGTTTAATCTCAAAAAGTTTATTATGACCTCAATAACACTTTTATGAGTTCCTGAAAAGTGCAAATAAGTTCACAGCTGTCCACTATCCCAATAATTGTAGAAATAATAAATAAATAAATAAAAATAATATTGAAAACAAGATATAGGATGCAGGTCACTTGCAGTCCACAAATCATTTATACCATTTCTCATAGACACACTTGTGTTTACTGCCAAGGATGTATGGAGCTTTTTTGATTGCCACCACTCTACTTGCTTGTATCTGTACCTTAAGGTAGGCACTGGTTTCTGCTCTGCCAGTTACTCTAATTATGTTCAAATTCCCATTTTATACGTGGAGGCACCCTTTGATGTACAAAGTGTATCAGAGAAAAAGTAGATACCTACACTGCCTGAATGGCCACCTTTTCCTTATTCCAGGTTCTTCTTTAGAAGAAGGAAGAAGTGAAAATGGACACTGCGAAGCAGATACCCTACCATGCTTCCTTCCAATGCTGGCATAATTAAAGGAACTACTTAATCTGAATTGTCACAGAAAAACTGTGAAAGGAAAACCTGCTCCTGGCCCTTGTGGCTTTGGTGTGTAACTGTTCATATGTAGCACCATCAGATAGATTCCTTCTTCTGCCAGCCTTTCTGCCTTCATTTGTTGCTGATAAATAACATTTTCAGAAGAAGAGAGCTGCCATCAGTCTATTAATACACTCTCTGATCTACCTGTATTTGGAGGGACACAAGAATTGTAGTTGTTACAGTCCTTTGGGAACATCTGTGGTCAGATATCAGCATTTTTAGGTTGTTTCCCCATTACTTTAGTCCTAAAGGTTTATAAGAGTAAGCACAGTTCTTGCACTCAGTGTGTACTGATCATTAACATGAAGAAATGATATTTAACGTTGGAGTGTGCATCTAAGAACTTAAGGGACCAGTTGGCACCCCTTCAATGTACTTATGCTTATACTGAGATGTCTTCCATCGTATCTCTCTCAGTTCCTCAGAGCAAAGCTTAGGAAAAAATAACAGTGAGACCTTCCTTTCAAGTATTAAACTGATACATATTCAAATAAACTTCTAAAGCCACCAAGATGATCATCAGTTTAATTAAAATACCAAACAAGCCATCACCTCACCTAAGTGTGTGCAGAATAAGGTTTCTGAATTACCTTTCTACCATCCAGTTATTATAAAAATTGAAGACAACTGAGCACAGCCTGATTAACTTTTTGCATTTAAAAAAAAAAAAAAAATTCTTAAAAAAGGAAGCAAACAACAAAATTGTAAATATTTTCTTTTAAAGGGTGAGACTTAAAATATCCTTGGTATACTAGAACCCATTGTATCTCATGGAATGCCTTTGTTTGAAGGGCTTTCCTGCAAAACAAACATTGTTTAAATATGTTTAAAGTTAATAATAACCAACAAATCATTAAACAGACTTCGTTTAACAAGCCAGGAGCCAAAAGAAAGGAAAAAGTTACATAGCCCAAGTTAGATATTACATGATCACTGGGAATCAGAGGAGCACA